ATATATATATATATATATATATATATATATATATATATATATATATATATATATATATATATATATATATATATATATATATATATATATATATATATATATATATATATATATATATATATATATATATATATATATATATATATATATATATATATATATATATATATATATATATATATATATATATATATATATATATATATATATATATATATATATATATATATATATATATATATATATATATATATATATATATATATATATATATATGTATATATATATATATATATATATATATATATATATTTTTTTTTTTTGCTTGTTAGTTTGATTACTGTTGATTTCAAATGCAATAAATCTGTTTGTATAAAACTTGTAGTAACGGTGCTCATAATTGGTGGGTGCGACTAAATTTTGGCTGATTCGCCTACATTTTTTAGGTTAGGAGCACTGGTGCTACAAAGCAAAAAGGTTAATTTCGAGCCCTGGTCAGTGTGGTGATTATCACTGTCCTGTCTTTAATAAACTGCAGACATGACCCACCAAAGACAATGGTAATGGGGGATTCTTTGTGGCGAGAGGCAAAGTCTGCTACATGTACGCATGTTTTGTGAATGAGAGCCAATGTTTGCACAGCTAAGATATCTAAAATAAAATGTAGAACATCTAGATTGGAGTACTCACCGCCAGTTGCTGCAGGTGGATCAGTGCCTTCTGGGTTGTTTGGAGTGGGTTGGGTTGCATCGGTGGATTGGGTAGCTTCAGATCCCTCCGCAGGATCACTGGTTTGCTCTTGAGCTGCTGGTTTCTTGCTGGGCTCTGCTTTACTGGGAGCTGCGCTGCTCTTCTTATTCTTGATCAGTATTTTCCCCATCAGCTCAGATGGACTCGGGATCGGCTGACCCGGTTTCAGCTGGAAACAAATAAGTGAACTCAAACTGAACCCAAATGATGTTGAACAGATTCAGGAATTTTTCACAGTATTTTACTTCTGGAGAAAGTCGTTTTTGTTTTATTTTGGCTAGAGTAAAAGCAGTTTTTAATTGTTTAAAGCCATTTAAGGTCAATATTATTAGCCCCCTTAAGCAATATTTGTTTTGGATTGTCTACAGACCAAACTATTCTGTTTTATAATGTGTTGAATTTAAATGGTCACGTATTGTGACAAAAATATATTTTGTTTGTTTGCTCGTTCATTCATTTATTTATTTATTTATTTCTTTATTAATTATACTATTAATTAATTAATTAATTAATTTATTTATTTATTTATTTATTTATTTATTTATTCATTCATTCATTCATTCATTCATTCATTCATTCATGTATTTATTTATTGGTGTATTTTATTTATTAGTTTATTTATTTATTTATGCATTTATTTATTAGTTTATTTATTTATTTGTGTATTTTATTTATTAGTTTATTTATTTATTTATGCATTTATTTATTTATTTATCTATCTATCAATGAATCAAGAATTCAGTTTAGTTTCCTAATTCATTCATTAATTTATTATAGTATTCATTCATTTATTCATTCGTTTATTTATTTATCTATTTATTTATTTATTACAGTATTATTTAATAATTAATTAACTATTTAATTCATGTATTTATTTTAGCATTTATGAATGTATTTATGTATTTATTTATTTAATCATGTATGTATTTATTTATTATATGATTAATTAATTAATTAATTAATTAATGTATTTATTCACTTATTTGCGTATTTTATTTATTTATTTATGTATTTAGTTATTAAGTATTAATTAATTAATTAATTATTTAAATCATGCATTTCTTCATTCATTTATTACAGCAATTATTAATAAACTAATTATTTAATTAATGTATTTATTTGTTAATTTTTTATTTATCAATTAAAAATTGAGTTTAGTCTTTTTAATTTATTTATTCATGTATTTATTTTTTTATTTATTAATTTATGTATTCTTTATAGTATTAAGTTATAAATTAATTAATTTAATCATGTCGCATGTACAGTTGAAGTCAGAATTATTAGCCCCTGTTTATTTTTTCCCCAATTTCTGTTTTACAGAGAGCAGATTTTTTCAACACATTTCTAATCATAATAGTTTTAATAACTCATCTCTAATAACTGATTTATTTTATCCATGATGACAGTCAATAATATTTGACTAGATATTCTTCAAGACACTTCTATACAGCTTAAAGTGACATTTAAAGGCTTAACTAGGTTTATTAGGGCAACTAGGCAGGTTAGGGTAATTAGGCAAGTTATTGTATAATGATGGTTTGATCTGTAGACAGTCTGAAAAAAATAGCCTTAATGGGTTAACAATTTTGACCTTAAAATGGTGTTTAAAAAATTAAAAACTGCTTTTTGTTCTAGCCGAAATAAAACAAATAAGACTTTCACCAGAAGAAATAATATTATCAGACATACTGTGAAAATTTCCTTGCTCTGTTAAACATCATTTGGGAAATATTTATAAAAGAAGAAAAAAATCAAAGGGGGCTAATAATTCTGACTTCAACTGTATGTACATCATAAATACTAACAAAATTGGCAAAAGCCTTTTAAAAATATTATATTGGTGGGGTATATGTCAGTTTTTGCATATAAATGAGCTAAATGACTGCACAATAAAAAGTTAAATAGTAATAAATCAGAACTCTCACAGGGTATTTGTCCAGCAGGTCGATAAGCAGAGCGTCTCCAAAGATGGTCCTGCAATAATTGGCCATCTTCTCCTGCTGTTTCACTCTGAAACACACAAAAAAACACTTCATATCCACCAGAAACACAAACACAAAGAAGAGAAGCCATTAATGTCTTACGAATCCACGTGGTTCTCGAAGGAAAGCACAACCGGATACTTGGAGGTTTTGAATGCGCTTTCAGCAATGGCTTCAATCACGTCCTGCAGGAGAAATACAATTACATTTCACTGCTTACAATTAGTTCATCTGTAAGGAAAATCTTAAATCACACTGAAAGTAGTATATGTCAATTCTTCAGCTGAAGACAAAATTCTCTTCTCTGAAAGTTGTATAATTTTTTTTTAATTCCCAAGCAATATTTTGCATTTGCCGGCCACTTTATTAGGTACACCTTACTAATACCAGATTGGACCCCTTTTTGCCTTGAGAACTGCCTTAATACTTCATGGCAGAGATTCAACAAGGTACTGGAAATATTCCTCAGAGATTTTGCTCCATATTGACATGATAGCTACACACAGTTGCTGCAGATTTGTCGGCTGCGCTTATTTGTTTGTGTGTTTGTTTGTTTGTTTGTTTGCTTTACTTATAAACATTTAAAGATGTTGACCAAAGTGCTTTACAAAAAGACCAGCATACAAAATCTATACCTATATAAAATAAGCAAATATTTAAAAAATATTTATAAAAAAATACTTATAAAAATAAGCAAAATATTTAAAACAGATTCAAATTAATTAATTGCAATCAAAAGGCAAGAGACAGAAGGTGATTTTTTAGATGAGGCTTGAAAGCACCAAGTGAGGAACATGACCTGATATGTAAAGACAGACCATTCCACAGTCGGGGGGCTGCAGCAGAAAAAGCCCTGTCACCTCTTGATTTCAACCATGTTTTGGGGACAACTAGCTGAAACTTGTTTTCTGACCTGATTAGCCTCAATGAAGTGTGCCGGTGAAGAAGCTCAGAGATGTAAATAGGTGCCAGACCATTCAAACTTTTAAAAACAAGTAGCAATAACTTATATTGAATCCTAAATTGGACTGGGAGCCAGTGAAGATAAAACTAGTGAGATACCAGAACATTTTTTTGTTCCAGTTAAAAGCCTGGCAGTTGCATTTTGAACCAGCTGCAGGCGTGCTATTGATGCCTGCGAAACTCCTGAATACAAAGAGTTACAGTAGTCCAGTCTGGACATAATAAAAGCATTAATGATGGTTTCCAGCTCTTTCGAAGACAGAAAAGGCTTCAGTTTGGCACTGTTCCTTAACTGATAGAAACCACTTTTGACGACCGAGTTTATTTGCTTGTCGAACTTTAACTCAGTGTCAAAAGTAACTCCAAGATTTTTTGCGTGACTGTGGACCTTACGCTTGATTGAACCTAACTGATTAATTGTAGATTCACAGACACTCGGAGGGCCAAACACAAGTACTTCAGTTTTTGATTCATTCAAGTGTAAGAAAACATCCATGATGCCAATCTCCTGTTTCACCACATCCCAAAGGTGCTCTATTGGATTGAGATCTGCTGACTGTGCAGGCCATTTGAGTACAGTGAACTCATTGTCATGTTTAAGAAACCAGTCTGATATGATTGAGCTTTATGACATGGTGCGTTATCCTGCTGGAAGTAGCTATCAGAAGATGGAGACACTGTGCTCATAAAGGGATGGACATGGTCAGCAGCAATACTCAGGTAGGCTGTGGTGTTGATGCTCAATTGGTACTAATGAGCCCAAAGTGTGCCAAGAAAATCTCCCCCACACCATTACACCACCACCAGCAGCCTGAACCGCTGATATAGGGTAGGATGGATCCATGATTTCATGTTGGTGATGCCAAATTCTGAGCCGAGCATCTGAATGTATCAGCAGAAATGGAGACTCAGAGCAGCAACGTTTCTCCAATCTTCTATTGTCCAGTTTTGGTGAGTCTGTGTGAATTGTAGCCTCAGTTTCCTGTTCTTAGCTGACAGGAGCGGCACCCGGTGTGGTCTTCTGCTGCTGTAGCCCATCCGCCTCAAGGTTGGACGTGTTGTGTGTTCAGAGATGCTCTTCTGCAGATCTCGGTTGTAACGAGTGCTTATTTGAGTTACTGTTGCCTTTTTATCAGCTGGAACCAGTCTGGCCATTCTCCTCTGACCTCTGGCATCAACAAGGCATTTGCGCCCACAGAACTGCCGCTCACTGGATATTTCCCCTCTGATGGAGCATTCTCTGTAAACCCTAGAGATGGTTGTGCATGAAAATCCCAGTAGATCAGCGGTTTCTGAAATACTCAGACCAGCTCGTCTGGCAGCAACAACCATGTCACGTTCAAAGTCACTTAAATCACCTTTCTTCCCCATTCTGATGCTCACTTTGAACTGCAGCAGATCGTCTTGATCATGTCTACATACCTAAATGCACTGAGCTGCTGCCATGTAATTGGCTGATTAGAAATTTGCGTTAACGAGCAAGTGGACAGGTGTTCCTAATAAAGTGGCCAGTGAGGATATTTCATACACAATGGTAATTGTAAATGTTTTACATAAACAGGATGATTTAAATAATAAAAAAAAATCTCTCAAAACTTGAAAATAAAAACAACAAATAATTAAAATGGTTAAAAACATGACAAAAGCCAAAATTAGTGTCGAATTTGGGTTAAAAATACTAGCAAAAATGGCAGAAAACTTAAAATACATTACTTTAGTCATATTTCACCAGTTCATTTTGAGGCCATTCCAATATGACAGACTGATTTTATTTTATTTCATATATAAACCTGCTGTCAGA